TAAAATATAGGGGGTTATTGTCTCCTCTTCCTCTGAAGAGAAGTAGTCCAAACTTCACCTAGGGAAATGAAGTGACCTTGGGACCTGAGAACACTACCCCATGTGAAGTATGTAGTAAAAAGAATAGAAGGAAGAAGGAGCTGAGGATAGGGAAGTTTGACCTATGACAAGGGTCAGAGGATGTGAGTTTGTTTAGTCTAGAATGTACGAAAATGAGGTATGATAGCAGTTTTCTAATATGTAAACAGTTATAAAAAAAGATTAATTTTTTGTTCAATATGTTCAGTAATCCTAGGACAAGAAATAATCAGATTAAGTGAAGTGTGTTTAACTTATGTATTAGGAAGGCCAATTCCTAATAAAGAAACACTGAAACAGTGGTACAGGCAGCCTAGGGAGAGTAGAGGTTTTTAAAAGGAGGTAAGATAAACCTCCCATTCAGATTGTCTTGGCAAATGTCATCCTACCTCTGAGTAAAAAGAGGGAATAGCTAATGGTACTTTGCAGCTTTTCTGTGATTAAAGGATTCATTTCTGGAGACATGTAAAGTCTCAAGCAGCAGCCTGCTCTTTCCAGAGAAGGCTCAGCAGCCTTCCAACTTTCTGGAAAACCCGTGGCACCTAAGGTGCTGGATCAAAGACCCTTTTCTCCTTGACCACTCCCCAGAATATTGCTATGTCTACTGGATGCAGAGAGAAAGTGCTAATAGGTAACCAAGATACTCTATTTCACCCTGGAAGGGTCTGGGCTTCTCTTCAACCACCTTCAAAAGGCTACATACAAAAAATCAACAGACGTAATAAAATGCATGAGAACAGAAGATTGAGCCAGTCAGCCAGAACCTTACAGTTTTAATATAGAAATGTCATGGTTGTACACATGGTGAGACAAAAGTCTAGTCTTCCAGTTCTCCGTCTTGAAAATCTTCTTAGCAATTACTTTTGGTATCTGCTACTATTGAGGCCTTGACTAGGTTTGTCCAACTAGGACAGAAAGATCTCCCTGCTATTTTCCCCCAGCCTTCTGTCTAGGCCTGCAGCTTCTATTTTCTACTGTCCTATCAATCTGTTGTCTTCTTGCCAAAGTATATCAAAAGTGCCCTGTACAAAGGAGGAATCTCACGTATCTCTACTCACTGCACAGCTAGAAAAAACTAAATTGGGAGCCAAGAAAATTGTCTATTAAATTCTGAGTGTTGATAATCAAGATGGTTCTTCAGAGTGCTTTTTTTCTTGCTAGGTGTTCCTTTCTTCTAGTATTCCTTTTCTTGCTGGGTGTTCCTTTCTTCTCCCTGTTCTGTACTTACCAAAATCTGGCACACTTTTAATGCTGCTCAAAAGGAGAAAGGCAACAGTGGAAAAGAAATGGTTTGTTGCAGTGTAGCTCACTTAAAATCCTTCAGCTCTCTTCCACGCTTAGAGATCCCTGCTGAGTTGCCTGATCAGAGGAGTTCCAAATATTCTTTGTGAATGTGACTGATTCCAACTCTTTTACTAAAAATTAAATTCTTTCTACCCTTTCCACCAATATCTTTGTGACCCAACACAGAGGGGTGTGTGAAGATGCCTCAAAAGTCTCTGCAGTCTCACACCAGGCCTGTAACAGAGCATACATGAGTGCCCTGTGAGAAGGAATGCAGGGAGGCCACCAAGCTCTGCTTCATCAGTTCTCACCATCCCACTGGGGAGAATAAAACTCTTAAATTGTTTCTCATTCCATAGAGTTGTCTTTACTCTTCTAATTACAACTGTATTGTTGAGCAATCAAGTACGTGATTTCTAACAACCCCAAACAACAGCCATTGCCCCAGTCTCTTCAAATTTGGCTCAGAGCAAGCTGTTTAGCTTGCACAACTCCTCATCTGATCATCATATATACAGTGAGTTCCATGAAATACCTGCTTCTCCTCTCAAATGCAAAATTCATTGCTTTTCTTCAAAGATGGTATCCCAACACATTTTGGTGCTCTTTGTCATGGCATGCTATATTTAAGACACTTCATTGTTTAAAATCCTTATTGTGTTGCTGTTTTACTGCCATCTCACTGTAGCTAAGAAGTACTCTCAGTAGCTGCAAGTCATGTTTTCCTTGATTCTTCCTTCTTTCTTTTCTCCTTGGGACGTGCTGCTGTATATGAAAATGGGCATGTCAAGTTGAAAAATTGCCTGTAATCCATCCATTCATCTTTAGTGTTTCAGATTTCTGTACACTTTCCCTGTGGAAGTTTCTTCCCACATTATTCTTTGTTTTCTTGGTCAACAACTTGTAAATCTTCTCTACTTTAGCACTGTTCAGGGCTCTCCATTGCCTCCTTGCTCTCTTTCCTTCTCTTTCCTACTCTTTCCTTCAGCAGCATTCATGGTTTATTGTATAAGCAAAAGTCCTTTCCTCCAAGTTTGACAGATCTCATTCAAAATGGGACCTTGATAAAGGGTTGCAGTTGGCTTAGACATTGATCACCCTGAACTATGGAAATGATCCTTATGCAGTTAATAATTAAAATTATTATCTACTTTCATTTGGATGCATTCTAAACGTCTCCATTTCATTATTCTTTGTTATCAAAGGCATTAGGTATTCAATATCTGAATTTGCTTATTCCAGAATATCCAGCAGAGACAATGCTCGGGAGAACCATAGGTTAAACAGCACTTATAGAAATCCTCTAGGGATTCATTGAATGACTCTGTGTTGTGTCATCATCGAAAAGCTCAATTCTGCACCCAAGTGTTGTAAAATTTGTCACAACCGAAGGTGTGTGAATTAAAGATATGATTGTTTAATCATCCTGTAACTTGGATCCGGAGAAAATAAGGTTACAGTAGGCATTGAATTCTTTGAGTTTCCATTTGTACCAGAGAAACTCCCAATAATTTCAGCAAAAGAGTCACAGCAACAAAAAGCAGATGGAATTTGAGACCATGTCCGTGTGTAGTGGAATCTGTGCTTTTGTGAAACATCATCCTAAAAGAACATTTCTGCTGAAATGACCATAAGCCTCAGTCTGCACAAGAGTTATTTGTGGCATCTCTTCTATAACTCAAGACAAGACTCATACCTCAGATGCTGTTTATTTTCTGTGATATTTGCTCACAGAGGACCCCACATGCTGTATCTCACGTTTTTTAGTACTGAGATCTGGATGAAAACAAGAAGTTCAATTCAGATTCTAAAAACCACCTGCTCCAGAGCACTGGTGGCTCTTGTAGCCTCTTGAGTGGAGCACCCAAACTGTAGTAGATCCCCTACTGTGCTGATGGCTCTCCTTACAGGCAGAAAAAAGCCACAAAGGTAGCTATTTTGCCCATATGTTTCTGGCATATAATAATGCTGGTGGAGATCATGGCTCACTTTCCAAAGATGCAAATGGGGTTTCCCAGGAAGATCAGACTATCAGAATTACTTCCCATTTACTGGCCACTCTCCCTAGTCACTGCTTGCAGGCAACAAAACAAGTAACGTTTGCTCTAGCCCATTCTCCTCAGTCCTCCTGGTTCCCTTGCTCCCTGGTCCCTTTAAGTTCCTACTCAACATAGGATACAAACCCTTGCCTGTTACAGTAACAATACTCATAACCTTGGTTGGTAAATCAGTTGTCTTTGGGAAGAAATTTCTGCCTCCAGCTTGCAAGGAAGGTTACTCAGATGCTTAGCAGAACAGAGCTCTGCCCTCCCCCATGGGAGGTTACATCCACCTCATGAGGAATGTGAGGGAAAAGCGAGAGCTTTTCTCTCCTTCCCCTGTAGTTTAAATATTCTCATAGTAAGGCACTGGCTTCCTCAGAGAGGAGGGTGTACAGTCTGCTCTGGTGGTTATCAGCAATGAAAATCATGTAAATTCCTTGGATTTTCAGGCATCAGCCAAGCCCAAATCCTCAAAGTATGGAGCTGGCATGTACATGACTGGCTGATGAACTGCATTGGCCCAGACAAGCTTGACTAGTATGCAGAGATGTGGCCATGGATAAGTCTGATGCAATGATATGACAAGACCAGACCATAGGTCCTGGACTGGCCAGGGAAGTGCAATGGGAGTCAGTTCCAAGTTTGCAGCATAAAAGAGAAGTGTCTCATCTCCTTCACCAAGGAATGAGCTCACTGCACATGGCAGAAGGAGCACTGCTGCTCACCTCGCTATAGACACTGAGTTACAGTGGTCTGTTTTAGACATCTGTGGAACAGAAGATTAAAGAGGCAGAGCCGTGAGCCCATATAAAATGAGTTTGTTACATTTGTTACAGAATACAAGCTTACTAAGATTGTAGCTGAAATTCAAAACACAAGGTATCTGAATCTGCACCTAGTTAAATATTTCATCTATGTCTTTAAGAGATACAAACTGGTAAAAATCTGAAGGTAGAGTGACATAATTTACTCTGCATGTGTGGAGATGTAAAGAGAGAAACTATTCATTGTGACTGTTATAGTACAGCATTTAGCAGTGATATAGTTTGAAGCTGGCTCCCTGCCAAGTCTCCAAACCTTACCGCCAGAAGTCCCCCCCCCAAAAACCTCAGGGAGAAGAGGGAGAAAAAAAACTAAGAAAACCCAAAACGAGAGAGACAGCCAAAGTGAGATATATAAATATATTTACACTTATATACAATTAAAATATACAATTTCACAAGGGAAAGGGAAGGGGGAAGGGAAAGGGAACAAAACTAAAATAAAATATATATATACCCCAATTAGTGGCCCAATATCTAACAACTAAAAAAGTTAGCAAAGAAAATATCTCACTACTCCACTGGGACAACCGAGAGTTGCTCTGGAACGATCGCCGGCAACCTCTGTCTCCCAAGGTCGGCAAGACCTAACCAGGCCTCGCTCCCCAACACGGCGGACTAAACAGCAGGGAACCTGCACCTCCAAGCCGCCGGAAGGAAAGAGAGCGAAGGCCTCTCCTCCTTTCTTCTTATAATTTGGCTTACGTAAAAATCGTAGGGAATACTGGGTAAATCTGGACCCTTCCTTGGTTACAAACTGGTCACCAAGGAAGGTCTAGCCCAAACCACCACAAGCAGTATGGTAGGCATATCCTCTTAGCGCTTAAAGTAGAAAAAATAATAAAAAAACCCTAGATTGAACTTCCATTCTGAGTGTTTCATCATAGTAATTTGAATTTATTGTGCCCTGTTTTGAATTCCTGACCCAGATAAAAATTGCTGTAACTTGTTTCACAAAGGCCTGAGCAGGGCATAGAGAACTGGAACCATTTTACATGATAGTTTCGCAATCAGATGGGCATGTCTTTGAATGAAACCAGTGTGAATATTAAGCATTGCTTTCTGGGATATTTAGCGTGGAGATTATTAGTTGATCTCCAAGAACACAGCTATGTGTCAGGTATTATTTTTTCTCTTTCTACACATAATACTGCATAACTATGCTAGGCTGTGGTGGAGTAATGTATCCTCGTACTCCCTTATTTAAAATGGTATTTAGTAGCTTAGATCACAACCAGTTTTATTTCACCATCGTTCCTTTTCCTATTAGAGTTTGGTTTCAGTAAGGAGTTTGCAGAAGTATAGGCACCTGGGAGGTGTAAGGCAATGTGGAAGAGGAAGCTGAAAGTGAGCATGTAGCGTGTTTTTGGTTCCTCCCTGGAGCAGAGATGACAGCTGCTGTGCCTAAGCAGTGTCTAATGTGGGAAGGCAAACTGGCTAACTGCCATGCCACAGGCTACGGCATAAGACATTTAGAAATGAAAGGAATAAAACCATGTTAAAATCCGCAAGTTACTTAAAACTTAAGGAAAGAAAACTTTGCCTGTCTTACACAAAATACTTATGAAAACAAGCCTTAAATGAAAAGATTTTTGGGAGTATTCTCAATAGCTTCAAATGTCGTGTTTCCAAAGTGTCTTTTGAAAATAAGGAAGGGAAGATTTATTGAAAGGTGCCTGTAGGGGGAGATGGTTGCCCGGGAGATTGGCAGTAAACATTTCATCTCCAGGTCACCAGCTCAAGCCAGCTCCGCTCACTAGTGGTCAAAAGCCTACTGCATTATTGTCATTAGGAAAGGACATGAATCACTCAATAGTCTGTGGAGACGTGAAAATGTCTGGTTCAATAACATATATAAATTATTTTCTTAGAATCCTTTTGGGGACTTCTGAAGTACATACAAGCACAAACATTTTCTGAATGTTTATACAAGTGCTAGTCTAGAAAATACTAGTCATTTTTATTTAAGAAATAAACTCACTAACTACACCAGCTATCTGAAAATCTTCCTTTCTTTTTTTCTTTCTCTTTCTTTCTTTCCTTTCTTTCTTTCTTTTCTTCTTTCTTCTTTTTTTTCTTTTTCTCTTTCTTTCTTTCTCTCTCTCTTTCTTCCTCCCTTCCTTCCTTCCTTCCTTCCTTCTTCTCATGTCATTCTTTCATTAGCTCATTCTTTACTCCTTTTCTCTTTCCTCATCTTCTCTCTCTTTTTAAAAAAATAATTTCAATTTACTTATGAAGTCACTTAAAGAAGACGTAAATCTTTATAAGAAGCCTTTATCATCTGTTTTCTTTTAAAGTATAGCAGACCATTGGAATTCTGGAGAAAAATAAATTATGTTTGGGACCATTTTTCCACTTGCAAAACAATAATAAACAAGGCACTAAACAAAATGTCAGGGAGCAGCCACCGTTTGAAGCGCATTGCAACAAGGTATGATATGCAAAAAGGAAACTTGATCAGATTTGATTCAGGGTCATGTCTTTCTTTAATTCAGTGGAGAAGAGAACAAAGCTTAAATGATTTTTATTTAATAACAACCAGACAATAATATCAATAGTACTTCCCATTTAACTTTTGGCAACCATCAGTATGTGCTGCACGCATACCCAAGAAAAAAGAAACATTTTCCCCCTTTGGTTGGCTTCATCTTTTGAAGCATGTCTCCACCAAAAAGCAGATTTCAATTTCCTTCAGGGACCACAAAATACCCAGCTCTTTTCCTCTCCCTCACTGTGGTTAGAAGTTTATTTTTCAGTTGTGGTAAGTGCTTTGCACCATATTTATCTGCATGTTGTTTGTTTTAGGAGTGGAGCATAGAACATAGAGTCTTCTACCAGGGGAAAGACTAACAAGCAAAACACTGTACAGAAACAGTTTAAAGAAATTGTTATGGGTAACCATGTTGGTTGAATCAGAAAGTCTGCGAGAGTCTTTAGACCACAGCTGAGGAGCTCCTTCAGCAAGAACTATGCAGCTGAGGCATGCACCCAGGCACAGCTAGCAGTGAAGCTGGGCTGCCCTTGGATTTATAAATAACCCCAGGCAAGTCACTTCCCTTTACAGAAACTTTGTCTTCATAAGGGACATTTGCTATATAATTTCTGCTCTTGCTTCTTTCATTGGCTTTACAAACATGTTCAGTGTTCCTGCAGTTTTTTATATTGCTGCAATGGTAAATAATTGACATCGACAGGTGCTGAAAATGTAAAGTCTCATGGAAAGTAGGCAAGCTGTCCTAGGAGGCCTCCCTATTTCTGTAATTTGTTTGTGTGATGATTCTACTACCAGCAATTTCAACAACTCCCATACATTTCTACTTGATTTGCAGGTGTGTAAGCCTAAATAGGATTTGGCCTTCTTTTGGAGGACATCAGGGAGGTGGTGGTAGAAGTGATCACTGTGTAGTGAGAAAAGGTTTGTCATCTTCTTTTACTCTGCGTAGGCTGAGGCAAAGAGAGAAAATAGTATAGAAAATAGAAAAAAAAAAAGAGAGAGAAAATAAGAATTAAATCAACATTAAAATGCTTGTTAAATATGTTTGTGTGCACATGCCCATTTTTCACATTAGTCTCGGCAGTTTGAAAAAGAAGATTTTAATTCATTATGTATATTTATTTGTTGTGAACTTCTCTTTAGTACAAACACTCCAAAAGAGTTGAATGGGAAGACCTAGAAGATTCCTAGAAAGCAGGAAAGAAGCAGAAGAAATTCTGATACTTCCATGTAAAATTCACAAGGCAAAATGCGTATGCTTCTTGCTTGCAAGTGGAAAACATGTTTTGCTTGTTTCCTGATTTCTCAGGTTTGCTTTATACATTTTTGCTTTGAATTTTCTCCTTCAGATTCTGGCCTTTATTTTCCATGTAAACATTGGCAAATTTTGCAGCTGTAGCGATTCTGATCCCAGTTTCATTACCATATCACTCCTCCCTCTCCTGATAATATCATGTCAAATCAGAATAAAATTAGTGTGTCTCTCCATCTTGTCACAGCATCCCTCTTACACATCACCACTCTTCTTTCTGAAGTGGCTGTATTCCAAATGCATCTTTTATGAAAAAGCACTCTTGCTTCTATTTCCAGAAATCCTGCCCAGTCTTGCTGTTGAAGTCATCTTTCACCCTTACCTTTCCTGCCTGTCCTTAGTTATTTTACCTGTGTGGCAATAGATTTTTTGCCTTCTATAGTTGCCCATGTATGTATTGACCTCATACAGAGTTGCATTAGGCAGCATCACCAGCAGGTCAGAGGTAATCCTTCATCTCTGCTCAGCCCTGATGAGGGCTGGGTCCAGTTCCAGGCTACTGAGTACATGAGAGACATGAACATCTTAGAGCCAATCCAGCAAAGGCCACTACCTTGTGCCAATCTCCTGGTTGTGGGCTGTAGCACTGAACTTCCAAGCAGAGGCTGAGGGAGGTGAGCCACCCCAGAGTTAAGAGGAGAAACCTTAGTGGAATCCTCAACACTTGGAATTGCCTTTTCACATAAAGAAATTATGAATTAAAAATTAATATAATGTCATAATTAAAAGAAAAATAAGGTAGTAGGTGTGTTTCAACAGTCTGTTGAGGTTTTCAGCAGCTTCAAGAAAATGTCACATGAATTAAAGAGTAACAAGGAAGGTGATAACACATGCTGTACAGAGGTATCTAAATCTTGGAAAAGAGTGATATTTGTTTACCAATAAATGTAGCACACCATAATGGCTCATCATATTTTGAAGATAATTTATCTAAATCATGCCACGTGTCTGGCTTGAGAGAGAAACTAAGGATTTGAGTATGCAACACATGCTTCCAGAAGTTAAAATAATGAGGAAATGCTCTCTATTAGTTTTTATGTAATAAATTGATATAATAAACTTTTAGAATTTTTGGAGAATTGCCTTTTCAACATCAAGGTTAGTTTTTTTGGGGGGAAGGGTGGTCAATAACTTAGAATTGATGACACCAAGACAACATTGTTGTGCATATCGCATAACATTTATGTGCAGTGTAATTTAACAGAATCATAGAACAGTTTCAGTTGAAGGATTGCCTAGTTCCACCTCCCCTGTCATGGGCAGGGACACCTTCCACCAGCCCAGATTGTTCAAAGCCTCATCCAACCTAGCCTTGAACACTTCAGGGATAGGGTATCCAGAGCTTCTCTGGGCAATCTGTGCCAGTGCCTCACTACACTCATAGGAAAAATTTCTTTCTAATATCTAATCTCAATCTATTCTCTTTTAGCTTAAAGACATTACCCCTCATCTTATCGCTACACTCCCTGATAAAGAGTCTATCCCCATCTTTCTGTGGGCCCCTTTTAAGTATTGGAAGGCTGCTATAATGGGTTTCCATCAGAAGGTGAATTTGTCCCCTTGAAAATGAGGTCTGTTTGTTCATAGCTGAGAAAACTTTGTCTTTCATTAGTTTTTGACACTTAGAACATTTTGGAAGGAAATATTCTATTTAATTAAATAGAAAAACTGGATAGAGCCTGAATAGCAAATAAAATACATGAATGAAAATGTATGGGAAACTAAATGAACATTAACTGATGGGGCTGTTCTATGACATTTTTCAAATCTACGGTCTCGTTCTTTTGCCTGCATTATTTTTTGGTTTGTGTTTAAAGATATCTGTTTTCATTTTTTTTTCAGGTACTTGCAAGTGTGTATTGATCCTTTTTATTAGTCTGCAAAGAAATGTCAGATTTAAAACTGAAAAAGTGGAATTTTAGCAGCTCTACTAACTCTAACAAAAGGCACATTCCACAAAGCACTCTCATCTAGATCCCTGTTTAAGCAGCATTGAGAAATACTAAGAGTTTACAGAAGAAAAGATAAAATTAACAGATTTTTTAGGGGGAAGAGTGTAATTAAAAATGAATCATATAAATAGGTCTTTACAGCTTTTGTAAATAATTTATCAGGAAAATTCGCACTGATATCAATGAAAGCCTTGACTTAGTGTAGACTGAATTAATATTAAGAAATGCCTACAGTGAAATCAGAAGCTTTTTACTGCAAGCCTATAATATGCTCTATTTTAGAGCCATTCCCAAGTTTTTAAACCTTCATTTAAAATAAATATTATTTTTTTAATACCTAGTTTCATATTAGAGAGTGTTTAGGAAAGTTGCATGTTAAATTGTGACACACCATCATTAATGTTAAAACTGAGCACCCTTTTTTCTTTCATTTTGGTTATGTAAACTTGTACCTCTGTTCTTCTTCGATATCGTATTCAAAAAAATTCCCTGTCAACATGACGCTTAACCAAAAGAGTCAGAACAGTGACTCTTGCACAATTCCAGTTTACTGAGTTTTCCCCCAGCTTTCCAAGCTGCTGAGGCCAGAGTATTCATCAGCATACAGCAGTCATCTTGTAGAGCTCACCTCAGGTTTGGGCTGATTTCCAGCAGCTTGCTGATGCTCAGGTGCAAGGAGGTTTGCGTGGGGGCCTTGGTAGAAGCAGTGCACTTCCCTGCAGAAGTGCTTAGCAGTAGGAGGTAGTAGAACCATTGCTGACCTGCCCTGAAATGAGTTTCCTCGGGCAAAGCCATCTACAGAAAGTAGCTGCCAATGCCAGGCACAATGAGGCCGTCCTGTGCTATGCTGTAACTCTGCATGAAATGGCAACTTGAGTTTCAGATAGCACAGCTTTGGGTTTTAATCTAGGGTTTATTTACACACAATTCCCCCAACTCATTACAAGACCAGCTGGGGCATAAACTAGGGCTTTCGTGCCTAGGAAATTTGTGCATGACCTCCAGTAGGGAACCCATCAGCCGCTACCAACTCTGCATTAAGCAAAGATGCTGAACAGTGTAAGTACTGTGGATGTTGACAGGTCAATAAAAGCAAGTGGTCTACAACCCAACTAGCCCAAAGAGACCTGCAGCTTTAATTGGAAATGTCTGTAGGCAGGAAGCGTTTCAACAGCAATGATGAGGATATATTTTAGTCAGCTATTTTTGCAACATAGTGGTTACTGTGCACACGTCTAAAATGCATACAGCAATTTACATAGCTTTTTAACAAACACATGATACTATATCTTAAAAGTATTTACATAGAGACAATGACTAGTAGTTCTGGATCTCAGCTGCAGGGTGCTATACTTGTTGCTTGATGTTTGGCCAGTATTCTGCTGCCTGTCATACTGCCTGAATGAAGAAAATTTGAGTAATGAGTCTGATATCAAGTTGAATTTGTAGCAAGGGGGGGGTCTCATGTCTCTAGTTAATGGGAGTGGTAGCCCTAGGAGGAAAAGTCATTTCCATCTCCTAGGAATCCGAATTCCATGCCAATGTCTTCTCTGCAAGACCAGCATTGTCTCAAGCACTGATTCTAATCAGAGACCAACGCAGAGTCTCCCTTGTACATGCTCAGCTCCATTTATCCAGCAGCTCTCTCAAAACAGCTAACAGTGTCAATAGCATATGCTGTTAGCATGAAATATTTGCCTGCACACAGGCCATGTGTAGGGTCTACATTTGGAACAGACCTTTTGCCTAAAGGATCCCAGACCTCTCTTGTGGACATCTAGTACTTCCTACCACGACAACAGCAGTACCTAATTGTCAGTCACAGCTACTTAGCTTTTTTTGACATTAGTTCTTTGCTTCAGGACTCACCCTGCAAAGTAGAAGATAGGATGCCACGTGCTTCCTAACAGCAGCAGGAAAAATTTAAATGGAGACCCCTGATCTAGTAGTGTGTATTATAAAGTTGTGAGTTTTGGTACACTCCATATTACCTCTCTGACTTTATGATCCTGGGACAAACTTTTCCTGAGACCCTTTCAGCAAAGCAAGCAGACAATTTGCTGCAGTCAATAGAATGTATTACAGGTTGAAACCTGCTCGGGGTACAGGCACAGTCCCCTTTGCCTGACTGGGAGGAATCAGCTATTAAGCAGCACTAGAAAAGAGTAAGAAGAGCCAAGTAATGTGTGACTGCCCGGTATGACTAATTGTCATTTCTGTTTCTGGAGAGCGT